TAAACTTAAAATTATAAAATATTATTAAATAAATATATATAATCATTTAAATAAAAAACTTATATAATATCATGTACCATTATAAACATATTTTCTTTTTTGCTAATTTTATTACTGTAACAATTTTAGTTAATAAAACTTCTTTTCTGATAAGAGCTAAGGGCCTAGTGATGGTGGGTACGATTTTGGCAAACAAACAATCCATTAATAGCAGCGAAAGGAAGGCATCACACGTGAATTTCGTGGATGACTTCCAGGCAAATAGGTAGACCCAAAATGTGTAGGACACATTGAAAAAGATGACAGGTTCTGTAGCATACATGGTGACCTAGACAACAACCATGGCAGGTTCCCTGGACGCAGTACAATTCCAGCAGTTTCAGAAGTCTCTCAAAGAATTATAGTAGGGTAGAACATTCATCATCATTTTCAAATGGGGAAATGAGAACTAAAAATCTTGTTTGTCCTAAAAAGAAAAGCATCATATCTGGAAAAGCTACTACCTTTCACAGACCTAAACATCATAATCACACCAAATTTCTAACAAATTCATGGGAGCAATCAGGGAAAGTTCTGGTTTCTCCCCAATCGTAACTGTTTCTCAAGACTTGGAGGCACATGAAATAACATGGGACTTGAATTTCTCCAGCTCAGCCAGAACCTCCTCTTCTGGCCGGTAGATCAGATCGCTCATACGCCATATCTACAGAAAATTGAATGTTAAATACATGTTTTGCTTTCTTCCTTTCAATGAAGAAAAAGAAATGAATCGTTTCACAAAACGCGTCCAAGGAGAAAATTTAGTACATACCTGCAATGTTCCCCCACCACCAGTAGTATCACAGTCATCAGAAACACTGACAACAGTCCACGGATCAGATGAATTCCAATGGAAGTCAACGACTTTGTCCCTACACATAGTATAAAGTGAAAACCTTAGTAGAAAACAGGTAAAAGTAATAGAATCCAAAGCCTCAGAAATACACAAATTGCAAGATGAAGCAATGCAAATACTGTAATACAGATAATAAGACAGTGATTAGCATGCATTTTAAATTATATTAGTTAAAAGTTCTCATAGAAAAACAGCAAACCAAAAATTATTTCCACAAACCTAAAATAAGAGTGGCTAGATTAGGTGTATAAAAGGGTTTCAACTGCCAAAATCCGATCAATTAAAGCTATAGGGATTCATGAATGAGTTGATTTAACAGTTTTAAATAACTAAAGTATAGAGTTCTGCGTTATGAACACATACAGGGAAAATTTTATTATGATACCAAGGACCTTTAATGAAACACCATATTAAGAATTCAATCATACAGAATTTCAGATCATAAATCATGAATCCCAAGCAAAGATCTAATAACTAAAACTTGGTTCTGAGAGATAGTAACAAACCTGTGCCCAGCATGCTGGAAAAACAAGCCAGGAGGAGGGCTTGGGTTTCTTGCAGCATGCTCTGCCTTCTTCCCAACCTGCAATGAAATAGCTCCAAAGGGTATCATCCAAGAAATATGAACAAATGAGACATGCAAGCAAAACCCCAAACCACTACAGTATCAAAAGTAACAAAGAGGGAATGGGAAACCACTGAGAAGCCAAATAAGTGAAGAGTTGAGTCATAATGTACAATTTAAACATGTCAGATTAGATGCACATAGAGAGGCACTAAGCTCATATTGGATAGATCAAGAAACCACACCTTATCATAATCCCAAATGTTTAAGAGGCCATCCTCTGCAGAACTTCCAAATACAGATGACTTATCTGGAGACCACTGGATAGTGTATGAATTGTTTTAGTAGTCTCCAAAAGCTAGCACTTATTGTGAAAATATACCTTATTAGAGGTAAAGCATACCTGTACACAAAGAACAGCAGCTTTGTGACCCTCAAATTTATATATGGGTGACCCAACTCCATTAGAAGTGAGATTCCGTCGATCAAACAAGCGGACAGTATTATCAGCAGACCTGTAGAGATAAGAGGATTAAGGGGAAAAAGGGAAGTCATTTTGCATGCACAGACCATACAAACGTAAGGATGGTGATTCCCCATACTACTGTCAGATGCCTAATTATCCTTCATGATTTGGATCAAGTATGGAGAGCTTTGACTGGGGTGAGGGGAAGAGAGCATAACTAAAAGAAAGATCACAGTAGAATGTACCCAGTTAAGATAAGATTATTGTCATGGGGATTCCAATCAACACAGTGGAGATCAGCATTATGTGCCTTTTCAACCTATCAGCAACAACCACAAAAACAAGTTCAGCATACAACAGTAAAGATGAAGTTATCCTAGAAGAAATAAAGCAAACCTCGATAATGAAGCAACAGAATCAAGAGAGAAACAGATAAACATGAGGAATGAACCAATTCCAACTGGCAGCGAGATATCGGGCTTTTAACATTTCAAATCACAGCCTTGGCAATGATCTACTCACAAGAACAGAATCCACATTCCACATTGGAAGAACAGCACCACTTGACTCACAAAGCAAATGGCCCAACCTATTAAACAGATTATGCCAAGCACTCAAAGTACACCTGAGCATAATCATCCATTGATTTAAACCTTGCACGACATAGCCAAAGCCTAGCTTACATTCCCAGATACCAAGATCGCAGTTTTTTTTTTTTTTGTGTGGATAAAAGAGACTAGCTTTTTATACATGTTTAAAATTTCATGCAGATTAAAGGTGTTAATTGTCAGAACTCAAAAGAAATAAACAACCTTAACAACAGAGACACCAAGCGGCAAAAACAAAAGAGATAACAACCTTAAGAGCTGGACTAGTGCCAACCCGTGCATCCCACAATATGAGGCAAGAATCATCACCAACACTACAGAACTCCTGTGCACTTCAGCAAGGTAGAAATTTATCAGAAATTAACAAGCATATAATGACTTTACTCGCAAATTGTTAACTGCTGGTACAGTGGAAACTGAAAATAACTATGAACACTGAAAGACTGAAACTCAACTTTCACATGTAAAAATATAAAATTAAGTACATAAAATATGATAAAACAACAAAAAATCACATGCATTAGACTAGGAGAAAACAAGTACCTAGATGGACAGAATGCCACATCTTCAACTGTATCCTCATGCCCAACAAAAATACCTCTAGGACCAACAGTAGGGCTTTCAGCAGCTTTGTCATTACCTTCCCCTGGTTTGTTCTGTTTAACGATTGATCCACCAGCTCCTGGAGATTTCGTTGGGTCTGTAACTGTTGCTGTTATGTGGTCCTGTATACTCCACAAAACTACTGACTTGTCTTTCCCTGCCATTGGTATCATCGTCAAGCAAACTCAATGAGCATGAAATGATGACATTATTGACTTTCTCCAATACAAAATTATTAATTAGTCGGCCACCCCTACCAAACCACAATTTCCTAAAGGATTTTGATACTTAAGTCTTTTATGAAAACAACGAAACACCAAGCAGCAATAGAATAAATGAAATAATAACCATATCTAACCTCCAGAAAGTACATATGGCTCAGTTGGACACATTGCAAGAGCAAACTCAGCATTATCTTGATGTCCAGTTAGAACCTGCAAGAAGAAGAAAGTCAAAATGATATGGTGCTGTGAGATAACAAAACACAATATATGCACAACTAGAATTCCCAATGAATGTGTGTGTGTGTGTCACGCCCTGATTTTCAATTGCTCCTTCCATCAGGTCAAGCTATCATCAAAATATACCAAATCAGGGCGAGAATGTATTGCTCCAAGAACAGCATGACGGTTAGGTTGAGCTTCAACATCCCAAATAAGAACCTGAAATTTATCAAGCACAAACTCCATGTCATGCAAAATTTAAACAACCTAGTGTTACACAAAAATACAAAAATTGATCAAGAAATAAATAACTAAAGAAATTAACAAGAATTACATCAGGGCTGTCTGTGTGTGTAGCCACTATCTTGGAGTACTGTGGAAGCTCCCTGATTCTGTTAACCTGCAAAATAATATTTTCCAGTCACTGCAGAGAACGTAAAGTAAAACAGCACTTAGGAACAAAAAACTAAAAAGATAAGATGCACACAATACATTTTTACGGAGCCCAAGTCTATGAGTTGTAAAATATTAAATTTAAGCAGAATACATACCCCCTCACCCAAAACATCTTCAGTCATGCATAAAGGTAGACTTGCATTTTTATGTAACATATAAATAATGGAGTACTATTGTCTCTACATTCTTAACAGAAATAAACTCATGCTTAGAGAATGTAAGCAAGAAGATTCAAACCTCCCCTGGATGAATGATGGTCTTGTACTTCTTTACAAATGGTGAGCGTGCTTCTTCATTGAACTGAAAGATATAGAGTAATCCATGTAAAAACAGAGGAGGAAATGATAATGTTCAGACATATATATCATGAATATTAAAATACAGAGCAGCCTAAAGAAAATATCCAAAAGTGAATCTTACCTGAGATATGTGCTCTGCAGCAGCTACCCTAGGTTTGACAACTTCACAATTTGCAATGACAAGAGTGTTTGGTACACTACCATCAGTCTGGCAGCAGAGAGGGAGTAAAAAAAAAAAAAGTCATCAAAAGAAAAGACCAAAGAAATCAAATTAAACACTTAAAATTTTCATCCACAAGACTAGGTTGAGAACATGTCTCAGCAAGAGAGCAGTGTATTATGTATGACATAACAACTGAAGAACACATAATTAACTTTTCCTACGAGAAAGATGTTATGGAAATAACTTCAAAACAAACTGATCGCCGTTCATCACAATTCACAAGGGTCCAAAGGTTTCCCACAGATTTAACTTCAATTCATGCTAAAATTCTAGAGGTGCCAACTTTCTAAACGTACAGCTTATGTAAACAGACTTGCCTGTTCAGAGAGGTAAAGACGCTGGCGATTCTTGTAAGTGGCTTGCTCAAGCTGCGGACCCCAACTGTTTTACAGAGAAATTAAGCCATTATTATTGATAAAAGAAAGATTTCTCTTTGAGAAATTGACTTAACTAGCATCCCATCAAAGCCCAAAAATAGCTAACAATATAGTGCCAAATGTTAGTAAAAAGAAAAGCTACTCCATTTTTCAACAACTACAAACACGAAATGACAGCCTATCAGACTTCAAACCCGCAGAGAAATCATAGATATAACAGGTTCAAGATTAAAAGGGACTACCAGGAGCACAAAAAATTGAAGATCTTTTAAAACAAACATAGAACCCATAAACCCTAGAATGATTCCACCAACGGAAAGAATGGACAAATCCGTTCTTAAACCCCATAAACCCTAAACCCTAAACCCTAAACCCTAGAAAACGAAAAAGAAGAGTACCGGCAAGAGAGAGAGGGCCAAACGAGATTGTGATTAGCAAGCCAGTCGTAGAGGACGGGAACGAGTGACTTCCACTGAGTGTACTTCTCGTCGACGCTGGGCTGCTGCGCTCTCTTTCCTTCCTTCATCTTGCCGGCGCTGGGTTGTTGCTGCTGCTGCTGCTGGGTGTCGTCCTTAGGCTTGGGCTTTCGGCCTCGCTTCTTGGGACCTTGCTGTTGTTGGGGTGGAGGAGTGTCCATTGTTGGGAGTGCGAATGTCGCCGATACTTAAAAATGAGGAAAAAGCCAATGACTTCCCCCCCCACCGGGACCCTGTCCGGACCTACTACGTTCTGATGGTGTTTGGGGGTAGAAAAATGAGACGGAGGAAAGAGCGGTGCTGATGGTGCTGATCTCTACGCCCTTTCAAGGCGGTGATGAAAACGCGCCGATTCTGTGTCAGCTGTCAGGGCTGTGCGCTGACCCGAGAAGAGTAGGTTTTTTTTTTTTTTTTTCAATTTCCTACCGCCGTCTTTTTAAAATGAATTAATTATTATTCTTTAATTTTTAAAATTTTAAAGATTTTTAAAATAAACAAATAGAGTTTTTCAGTTTTTACCGTAAAATGAGTGTAATATTTAAGTTTTAAATTAATTATTATTCTTTAATTTTTAAAATTTTTAAAATTTTTAAAATAAACAAATAGAGTTTTTCAGTTTTTACCGTCACAAGAAAATTATCGTTAAGGACTACTTAAGTTATTTGACGTGATTGGACATTGATTTCTTGTAAATAATTTTAAAGCTCAAATTAAATTGAAATTACATTTTAAAATAATAATAATAAATAAAATTAAAATTTGATATCAAAATTTAAGATTAATAACATAATATAAATTAAGTTAATTAAAATATTAAAAAATAAATTATATATTATTTAATAATTTATTTTTTTATTTTTTTAAATTTATAATATTATATTCATTACCTAATTTAATAATATAATATATCCCATGTTATTAGTACCAAATTTTAACCCTCCTTACCGTTACTCTTTTAAAAACGGCCCTTTTAGGGGTTTTTTTTACCCTTTTTTCTGTGCGTATTTTTGTTCATTTGATTATATATGCATTTTTTTCAAGAAAGAAATTGAAAAATCACGCTAAAAAAATACTAAGCTGAGTTTAATTTGACACTGCATTTTATTTTTATTTTAAATTCTACATGTAGGGGTTTTAAATAATATATACTAGCAGACAGTCTTCGCTCCTACCTCCATTTTCCATTCTCTCCATTCTCAGTGGTCATTTCCGCCTTTACTTCCAAGAGGTGGCCTACTAGCAATTGACCTTCAATTCAATGCATTCCAGATCAACTAGAGGATTGCTTTTCTTCTCCAACATCAAACCAATTTCGCCTGAGCTATTAAATAGATACGTATGTTTTTGAAGGCAACCTCATCACACTATAAAAGATAGAGAGATATATTATTATTGTTAACAACAGCAAACCTCAAGTAACAACGACAAAAAAAGTCATTCTTCATTTGTGGGAATTATGCATAGCAAAATTTCGTAAAAAGCTTGATATCTAGAAATCAGACGTAAACACCAGCCGAAAGTAGCAAGAACAATGATCCGAAACCCTGTAACAAAGGCATCAAGGTTGAGCATTGGCATCTCACTCAAACTCATACATCATGGATGAAGAAAACAAATCAAGAAGGAGAAAACAAACCATACCAGGAAAACAGATGCCACTGCTCCAGCGATAAGCTGCTTGGCAAGACTACGGTTTTGTCTGGAAGAAGTTGCTTCATAGCTGCATGTGATACATATTGCTCTTACAAATCAGAATGGAAAAGGTAAAATAAAAGATAAAGGTGAAAAGAATTTCAACATGTTTCAAAACCTAGAGAGGAAAAGAAAGATGCTACAGCTTTAGACCGAGCTGATGGTTAAGCCAGCATATATATTGCTCTTACAAATCAGAATGGAAAATGTAAAATAAAAGATAAAGATGAAATGGAATTTCCAACATGTTTCAAAACCTAGAGAGGAAAAGAGAGATGCCACCGCTTATGACACAGCTGACGGTTAATCCAGCTACATGCATGATAAGAAGATTCTTGAGAAAAAGGAAGGGAGACAAAAGCAGTTTGTGAGCAAGTACAAATTAGTAAAGCGAACTGATGCAGTGAGATCTGATTGGTATAAAAAATTTCTTATCTCCAATTCTCCTATTCTTGTAACCATAAAGCAGTTGTTCGAAGGCAAGTAAATAAAAAAAAGGTTAAGCAAATGAGTTCTTTACAATCTGAAACAAAGTTTGGCCAAATCAAAATACATTGTGGAAGAAACAAAAAAATGGACCCATCTTTAAAATCTGCTCCATACCTAAGTCAGATGACCACCAAGGAGGGGAAAAAAAAAAGGGAAACTTAAACTCCTCTTTAAGATCCACTGATGGACAGACAAAGTTTCAATCTTTTAACAGCATCACCATACATGCTGTTTAACCAGGGCTCACAAGAAAACATCCACCAGGATGGCTCCAACGGATAAAGCAATGGACAGAAAGCCAATAAAAGGGGCATGCATAGAATCTTTTATATAATGTAATAAGACTACTTAGTTAAGATGGAGAATTTATCTGTCCATCCCTTCATTCAAGGAGTAGTAGCTACTGAGAATTAGTGTTAGAATATGTATACATCTTTCCGCAGGTTCAATGTTCTCTCTTCCACACCCGCTAAAGAAAGCCACTACCGCCAGTTTGATTTAGTTGTTATAGTTACTAAATAAGGGTGGTCCAAATTACTTGTTCCTTTCATTCTCCAAAAACATTAAAAGCTTTTATTTCCATTTTTTAGCCCTATTCTTATCACTATAATATGATGTCAAATAAGCCAGACCTGTAAAAACTCGCAGATACTAAAACCCAAACAAAAACCATTAAAAAGCAAGGAATAGAATAGATATATGATTCGAACATCCAAAGAATAATTCACCTTGAGATATCATCAAATAACTAATAAAAACACCAAATTACCAGTCTACATCCACTGATTCAAACTAAGAATGCAATGCAAAAACCCAAAATAACGGAACTGATTCAACTGAACATTTGGGTTAGGAGTCGTGAACGGAATTCAATAGCACAAAATCATACTGAAGAACTAAAAAAAATTTGTGGAGATGAGATAATCAAGCTTACACGAAGAAGGAAGCAGTGACCACAAGGCCAAAAGTGAGCATGAAAACAGCTAGGGTTGAGTACGATGCATCAGGGACCGGACTTGAGATCGATTTCGGAGCCTGTTTGGAATCGGAAACACAAAACACCAAAGAGAAAAATCAGAAATTCGCAGAGATTAAAAGCAAGGTTTCGGTTACAATTGAGAAATTCACCATCGATCTCTCTCTTTCTCTTTGATTAGGGTTTTCTGGATTGATCGTAGAGAACGGGGAAAATGAGCTCCACAACAGGCGAAATGTTGAGAGAATTTTGGTGAGGACTGTGAAGTAGTATTAGTCAGCGTGTATGAACGTTGGTGCTCTGGCACCCAACAAGTGTTAGTTGTGTTTTTCTTTTTTTTTTCTTTTTTTTTTTATACAAGCA